ATTGGGATATTATTAAAGCAGAATGAGAGATCTGATGAGGGGACATTGTTAAGTAGCAAGAATAGGGGAGGTGTATTACAACTGTCTTTAGCTAATCTATCTGCTATTTCATTGTAATGGTTTCCAGCATGTGCTTTGATTTTGTGGAGAGAAACTTGGAGGTTAAGTGGTCAGTGATATATCGGATAACATTCCAGATCATATTATTGGGGACTTTTTCGAAATTTCTCGAAGAAAGATGGTTGGAGAGCACATATTTGTGAAAATCATGAATTGTTACCTGGCTATCTAGATAGACGTCCACCACTGCGTTGTTTAGAGAGACTACGAGAGCAGTGAGGAAAGCATACATCTCAGCTCGTGTGGAAGATGGCCAATTAACTAGTGAGGCTTTGAAGGTAAACGTACCGTTGTCAGAGTGTAAACAAATCCAACTGAATCCCATTTTACAGCTGTCTGTCCGAGATCCTATTAGGGAACCATCTGTGTAAAACGTAAGGGCTGTCACATCTATGAAAGTTGATTGCAGTTGTTTAAGTTTGGGTAAATGCATCGATGGTTGAATAAGAAAGTCAATGATATTATTAGTGAGTGGAAATGTTAGAGAAGGGTCATCGTATGGTTTGTAAAAGATCATATTAGTGATACGAGAGATTTCCCTTAATGATTGTTTGAGTTGGTTCTTGACCGTATGTGATTGTTTTGGAATGATTTGAACTAAGTAGGCTAAGGCATTAGAAATACTAATGATGCAATGCCCAGATGAAACGGTCTATCTGCTGAGGGGACAACCAGAGCATTTGACAAGCTGGCAAACATTATTATAGTTGATATTGTGGGTGAAATGGTAACAGATGAGATGGCTACTGTTAGAAACATCAGCTATAATTTTTCCGAAAATTAGACCATTGCACGTTGTATCCCAGGTTGATACTATTTCTTTTGTTTGGCTACTTAAGGTAGGCACTTGAGGAATGGTTTTGTAACATGGTAAGGGGGGAAGCTAGTCTGAATTCTAGTTTGATCAATCTATATATGTGACTTTCTAAAATAATGTTGTCTAGTTTATAGAAAAAATCAGATGAACCAAATCTTTTTGACTGATGGTCAAAATCCCTAAGAAGGAAATCAGAAGTAGTGATTAAATGATGACCTGAGGAGGAGATCAGTTGATCTAGAAAATATAAGTTATGGTTAGTAAGAATTTTGTTATATAGTTTCAGTAGACTACTAGAAAGAATTTTTGTGATGGGTTAGGTGCTTCCAGTGATTTTGTTTATGAGAAGAGGGGAAACGTTAAGAGAAAGATTTGAGGATGAAGAATTGATAAGGGAAAGGGAGGCATCAATTAAGTTTTTATGTGAACTTTTGTTAAAAGAATGTGGTCAATAATTTAGTGGAGATGTGACAAAAACATTGTTTGACTGTAACTGAAAAAGTCGAATTAAAGAGATGTTCTTATAGAGGGATGAGTTATTAAATTAGTAAATAAGAGCAGTTGAGAGGGATTTGATTTGCAGTGACCAGAGGTCGCTTAAGTTATAGAAATAATTGGAGTTCAAAAGAGTGTTGGGGAGGGTAAGGGCGAATTTATTTTTATGTTTAAAAAGTGAGCGTATGGGAGCGAAAATTTTGTGACATTCATTTTTTGAAAGGGGTGTCAGCTGCATACGATATTCTAGCAGGAGGCACAAAACCATATTAATAATATATGACAGCTGTTTGTCCGTTAATGGTTTATATTTCATAGAGGTGACGAAGCGGTTCACATCAAACGCGAGCTGCTTCTTGACGAATGATTGAGCTCTCTGACTGTTAATCTACATGTTTAGGAAACGTACTGACCCTTCTTCAGGGGTAATACCAATAGTGGTTGAGCCAAATTTGATAGGAACAGGGAGGACGTCAACATGGTAGGTCGTCAACAGTTTCGATTTGTCTTTGTTGAGTGCAGATCTGGTTAGACTATAAAATTCATCTGCAACGTGTAAAATATCTTCTAGATCTTATTTGGAACTAGCCACCCAGTTTGTATCGTTCATGAATGCAAGTGATGAAATGGAGGCTAATATAGTGTTAGTTTTCATGGAGGTGATGTCAAAAATCCAAGTATAATCCATTGTATATCTTTTACTTAGGGAGCTTACTTCGCAGAGTAAGGGATCCAGGTAGATACATCACACTAAAGGAGAAAACTTTCATCTTCACTCGTTTCAATAACTTCTCAAAATTCACGCGAATTTTTATCTATGTCTTCAATACCAACTTCAAAGGAAGAACAGCAACCACCTACTCCTCAGGTAACTTTTCAAGGACGAAAACTACCTGATCATTTGATAAATTTCGCTTCACCTCCTGGCAAAGAACTCTTTAAACAAGCACTTAACGAAGGTTATGCCGAGGGTTACTTTAACTTGTCTAGTTGTTTCTCACATCAAATGGAACCAGCTTACTGTGGTTTAAGTTCTTTATCAATAGTTCTTAATGCTTTACAAGTTACAGGTGCTCCTGTCTGGAAAGGACCATGGCGATGGTGGTCAGATGAACTTTTAAACTGTTGTGCGAAAATCGAAGAAGTAAAAAAATCCGGAATTACTTTTGATCAATTTGCATGTTTAGCAAGATGTCATTGCGACACTATTGTTAAACGTGGTAATAAAGTGACAAAAGAAGAATTTATTTATGATTTAAAAACTGTTTGTTCTCGTTCTGATATTTTTATGGTAATTTCTTTTTCGCGAGAAACCATGCAACAAACTGGTGACGGTCATTTTTCACCTGTTGGGGGATATAATCCTGACAAAAATATGGTTCTTATATTGGATACCGCCAGGTAAAACATAAATAATTTTATTTATTTACTTATATTATGAAAGTATCACTTCGAGACTATTCCTCTCTCTCTCCCCCTTTTTTATTATGTATCAGATTCAAATATCCATCATACTTTTCTTCGGTTGATTTAATATATGAAGCTATGCTTCCATTGGATAAAGAAACTAATCTTTCACGAGGTTATTTCCTTCTTTCTTCATATACATCTCAAAAGGCCATTTCCCTTTGTAAATTGTCTCAAGAAGGATTTAATACGGTAGTAAATTGGACTACCCTTGGGAAAACTTTTTGTAAAGATATTCCTGATCGCTTAATCACTGAAAGACCAAAAACTTTAGAGGAGGTGATAAAGGTGGTTTTCAACGATCCGTTTATAAGGTCATTACAAAATGCTATGCAACGTGATGTTGATAAGTCTACCAGTTTTGAAGGGAAACCGGAATCTGGTGAATATTACCTTAGCTATTTAGTCAACGATATTATCATGTCGCCTTTATATCCAGTTGTTGAATCTGTATTTAAGAAACAATCGTCATCTCCAACACAACTTAACGAAAATCAGACAGCTTTCGTTACCCTTTTCCTGCTTTCATTTCCCACCAAATTATTCACGATTTTGTCTCCAGAATTAGTAATTGAATTGGAACAATATCGTGGTCGTACTAATATGTCTTCAGAATTAAAACGTGAGGTGGAAAAGGTAAATGAAGAAATTGTGGACTTGATTGAGAATTTTTGCACCTGTAGTAAGACAAATGCAATTCTTTCAAATGATATGGATGTTAAAAAAAATTCATGTTGCCAAGAAAATTAAATAACCTCTTTACTTAGTTTAGTTTATTTTTTTAACGTATCTTTTCATATGAAATGTGTAAAAATTTTTAATAAAAAATTCTTTAGGTTTATAATATAGATGAGTTCTTAATTAAAAATACATTTACCCGATTCTTTCGCTGATCCAGTAAAAGAATGGTAAAAGAACTTAATAATCAATCTTAATTATAATTGATATTATATCCCGTTATTGTCATTATATAAAGAAAAACACGTTTATCTCTGATAATTTCGCGTATTTGCCGATGACCATACTTTTCATTATTAGTAAATTATGTTATAATTTTGTCAATGTGTTGCTATAACGAAACTTTTCTCACAAATAATCACGTGTCCTTATCCACGCGTTTGTATTTTGTTAAATAATCAATTTTTTTTATTAATATGAAAAATATAAAGAATCGGAACGAAGCGGGAAACTCAAAAAAATTTTTTTTTTTTTTTTTTTTTATGTCCGGACTCAAACTACGAGCTAGCAATTCAAGGAACCAATCATGGATCGACTAATCCTGTTATATTACATAAGTTTGCCACGTACCAAAAACTTATAACCTTGTCTCTCTTAACTCAATAGTTGCAATGTTATATTCAATAGTTGTATGGAAACATATTTCACTTCCTTTCTTTATTCTAAGTTCGGTTTTCGTATTTTTATGTTTTACAACAGTGCATATCACAAAAGCCTTTTCAATTTCATGGGTTCACGAAGATCTATTAGCACATCCACAGTATAAAGTATTTATTTATGAAAATCAATTAATTCAAAATAGTAGTTTAGAAAAGTTTGCGTTCGACGATGTACAGACGGTAGGTTTATAGGTTTAAATGAGATTCGTTGTTAAATAAATAATAACAATTCATAAATCTTCATAGGAATCCAGTAAGGTTCCTACATTATCACAGTCAAGTTCAGAAGATAATGAGGATTCAAAATATATTTCAGTTATAATGCGTACAGCGACTAGACAGCCGTATGTTTGTCAAATACCTTATATTGCTAATCAAACTTCGGATGAAGAAAATCCTGAAGAGAATAGAGAAGATGTTGACCTTATGAGAAAAGGTTTAGCATTATTGGAACCATTACAAAATAATTGTCTTTATTATGTGAGTTTTTGCGAATTATTTTTTGTCAAAATGGTTTGATTATTACAATTTGGAATTTCTAATTGAATTATTTAGAATCAAGGATGGTGGACTTATGAATATTGTCATCTAAGGTAAAAAAAGAAAAGAAAAAAGAAAAATTGCTAGATATCCATGTTTATTTGATTTACAAGAATTTTTTTTTTTAAAAAAATTTAGTCACGTTAAACAATTTCATCAAATCATTCGGCCTAACATGAAACCTATTGAAGATAGATCAGTAGCTTCATTTTACTTAGGAAGATATGATCCTCGTCATGCAACTTTACCATCTTCTTACAAGGATAAGGAGGGCTCAAAGAATTCTCAACAACAACTAGGTACAGATTTACAAGCCGGTGGTGGTAAAAAATATTTGGTGCAAAGGTGGAGTGACGGAACAAAATGCGATTTGACGGGTAAACCTCGTAAAGTTGAAATTCAGGTAAGGTTTATATTTTGTAATATATTTAAATTTTGACGTTGAATTCGATGTATCAACTTTCTTTTTTAATTTATAAATGAATTTAGTTTCATTGCAATCCACAGTCCAAAGATGGTATTTCAGTAGTTACAGAAATGTCTACATGTTATTATCTTGTAGTTATACACACACCAAGATTATGTAATGATCCTGCATTCCTTAGCAAAAATTTAAATAAAGTTAATCATATTGAATGTAGAAGGGTCGTTTCAGATGAAAGATTTGATCAATATACGGATAAAGAACGAAAAAGTTTAGAAAGTGGAGAAAATGAAGGGGTGATGAGGTATAGTGTCCTGTCTAATTCTGCTAAATAATATGGTGAATAATAATTTAGAGTTTAATACATACAATCTATTTATACATAATTAACTCTTTTTTTTTAAAAAAAAAAAAAAAATTCGGGGTAATCAATCTTAATAGCAAAGAAAAAGAACGTAATGATGACGAATTAAATGATCCTTCAGGTTCAGAAAATGAAAGAACGAGACAAGAAATTAAAAATGATAAATTGAAAAATATTGTCGCAAAGGTTGCTGATAGTTTAAAGAAGCGAGTTGAAATACATAAAGATGAAGGATCAATTGAAGAAGAAAATAATAATGCTAAAGGACATCCAATTCAAATTTATTTTATGGATGAAAATGGACAATGGACATTAGTTGATGGCAATGAAGCTGTGTTAAAAAGAAATGAATATGAGAAAGACGAACCTAGTTATTCAGATTATCAACATATTTTGGAAAGTTTAATTACGCAAAATCTTCAAGTTCGTCCTAATAATCCTTTCAAAAGGAAAGACAATTTTGAATCAGATTATTATCAACAAAGTCATCAAGCAAAATTGAGTTTAATTTATGAAATGGATTATGAAAATGATAACGATGATAAAAAAAAAAAAATTAATTAATTAATTAATTAATCATTAGAATTATAAAAATGTATTTGTTTATAAAACATAATTTAAATTTGTGATAAATGCCATTTTTATTATAAAAAATTTCTATTTTCTCAATTTAAATTATATAGAAGAATAATCTATATTTATTTAATATTATAATTCAGACCATTGTTGATTTTTATAGAACAATATTTTTATTAACAATATAAGCAATTACATTAATTACATTATATTATTTTTAAAATAGATGTGATATAAAATCTTTTATAATCTATTAATTATTATTAGCGATATTGATTTTAATATTAAAATTAATCAATACTTTATTTTGTATTAAAGATAAAATTGTTTTGGTTGTTTAAAAATTTTTAATAAATAATTATTATTCAAATTTTAAGAGGTTATTTACTTTTTATTTAAATTAAATTCAACTAAAGAAGATTTAAAAAGAACTTGTATTTGACTAATTTATCTAATTTATCTATCTTAAATCTCCAATTTTTTCTTTATTTTTTTTTTTTACTTTTTTTAAAAATATTAATATTATACTTCAGCATGAATTAATGAAGTATTAATTAAATTATATTTTAACAGATAAATTGCATTTTGATAAACATAATTATTTTATTAATACTTTATAATAAATGTCGAAATGACATAATTAATTTTGATATTATTAAAATTAATTAGTACTAAAGTATAATTAATATTTTATATTTGATTTAATTCTTTAAAAAAACTAATATCTTTAATTTTTTTTCTTATTAAAATATAAAAATCAAATAAATTTAATAAATTTATTATAAATTATATATATTAAATTTGGTTATAAAAGAAAAAAGTTATAAAATTATATAAAATTAAATAAAATTTTAAGTTTATTATATATAAAAAATATCTGAATAATACTTTTATTAGAAATAGATTATTTTAATTACACAAATTTTTATTAATTAGTAAAAATATAAAATTATCTTCAAATCATTTTAATCTTGATCTAATATAACTCTCATTCATTTAATAATATGTATATTTTCTATTTAAAAATATTGAATTATGTGATCATTACTATTCAAATTAAAGTAATTTTATCAATTATAATTATATACTATTTAAATTAAGTTATTTTTTTTATATAATTACAAATTTTTAATATTTAACATTTTTTTATTTTAATATTAATTAATTAAATTTAAATAAAGTAAAATAATTGATTTATAATGAATAAATTAAATATTAAATCTATTTTAGGCTATTTTAAGTCAATTATTTATAATATTATTAAAAATATAAAATAAAACATCAAATTTTAAAATTTTTTTAAATTTAACAAATAATTTAAAATATTAGATATCTTATAAAACTATTAAAAAAAATGAATAATAATCTTAAATTAAAATTATAAAAATATTTAATTAGTTATCAATAATTTCAATGAATTTTATTATAAAATATATTTTATATAATAAAGATTTTATGATTATATTAGAAGAAGAAATTTTTTGATATTAAAATTAAATTATAAAAAAAGTATAGAATAATATTATATTAGAAAAAATGAAAATACTAAGTAAAATATAATAATATAAAGTATTTAATTTTATTTTTATTATTTTAAAATAATATTTATTATTAAATTTAATATTATTTATATAAAAATATAATATAAGTTATTTAATTTTAGTAAAATCAGAAAATTAACATATAATTCTATAAAAATGATTTAAAAAATAATAAGATTAAATTTAATTCAAGTTTTTGATAGAATTATAATTTATATATATATATTGAAGTTTTATGATGTCAATGAAGCAATTGACGAGTCATAATGAAGTCACGTGAATGACATAGTATAACGATCTTTTAATCCAGAATTCTGAAAATACTGAGAATTCTGCGAATTCTAAAAATACGGAGGATCTACGTAATTCTAAAGATCTTTCAAATACTAATAATAATCCTAATTTTACGAATTAAATGAAGTCTAAGAATATTTAGTATTATACTTATTTTTAATATTCTAAATTTTATTATTATTTT